TATACCAATATTCCTATAATTAAATCAAAAGTTTATTAAAATACATAATTTATGAGTTTAATCACCACTAATTTATTTCGTTATGCATATGAATTTCAAGAGAGTCTATCTCAATATTTAACTCAAGCTGAAGACCAGGATTGCAGGAGCATACTTAGTCGAGTATTAAATGTTCCGGAGTATACCGGTCGTGTGAGGGGTAAGGGATTCGGGGTGACTCCAACATCTTTGGGTATTCATCAAAAGAAGAAAGGTCATAGCAATAAAGAAGTGATGGAAGAGTTAGAAAAATTAAAAGCTAAAGTTCGTGAGTTGGAAAAGGACAAAGAAAGATACATGTCAGAAAGGCAAGGGTCAGGGTTCAAGGATACTAGTGACAAATATAGTATCAATTGTGATTTCCAACAGAAAATTCTCGAGGTAACATATATTATTATGAATTAGCACAATTTTTTTAATTGACATATATAAACATTAACAATTTCATATTTATTATTGGTTTAGGGCATTTCACCTTGTCAGCTATATTTATCGTCACCGACTTATCGCATGGTTGGCAAGGGAAAGTGCATAACACCTTGGGAGAAGTACTTCACCATAAACCGCTCCCTGCTGGATTTTTGAAAGTATCAATTGAAATTTCTATAGAGAGGGATGCGCCATTATTATTGCCTGGCGATATTTCAGATGCAACATTGGTCGGAGAGGCAATAGGATCTTATGTTGCATGGTCGTCAAGTCTCATTTGCATAGATGATGAGGTATGTTAATATTTGCAGTGTTGAAAACTATTATGAAAACTATTACGACCATTTAACGTACACTTTTTTCATGGTAATGTTAGACTCCCACGAAATCCAAATCAAAAGATAAGGGGATTAAGCCGCAGACCGAGTCAGTTGCATCCAAAAAGGAGGTAAATTGATATATATTATGCATATAAAAGATTAATTCACGATCTTATACTTCACATAACTTATTATATGCATTTGATCTTTAGATTCATGTTAAATACATGCAACAAGTCCATATGAGTAACATGTCCGCACAAAAAAAAAGATGTGACAAAGTCTGTGACTAAAAAAAGCATACTTCTCGGTATAGGTCGTGCCTTCAGACATTAATGGGAATTTCATATTTGGCTGACGGATGTGCTAGTAATATACCTATGGAAGAAGGTATTTTTGGTTTTTTCTATTACGAAACAATAAGTAGAGAGGATGTGGATCAAATTCTTAAACATGAAGAATTAGGCCTCGGTGTTGTCAATACATACATAAGGTATTCTTCGATCAACTTTATTTCATTTTTATTGAATAATTTATCTACTAATTTCAATGAATGTTCTTAATGTTAATGATGTTTTTATTTAATTTCCGTGTATGCCAACTTGATGTGCCCGCATCAATTGGACCAAAGATTCTCCTTCTTATCTCCAAACAATATCAACGCACTATTAATCCAACAACGACCAGATGATGCAAAAGAGTATTTTGTCCGTACATTTATGGCCAACAAAGATACGGAAGAAAAAAATTTCCATTTAATACTGACAATGGGTAAGATTTTTATTCAAACTTCATATATTATAATTTTTCGTGTTTTGACGTTTTGTACAATGTTTCAATCTAACATTGTTAATCTTACAGTGGACACTGGTTGTTGGTTGCGATCAATCCAATAAGAGAAATTGTATATTATTTGGATTTGTTAGAAGGCGATTGGACAAAATACCCAAACATGAAGGTGATGGTTGATACGTAAGTTAGATTGTTCTAAAACTTCATTTGTATACTTATTTATTTTTTTTATGTGAGATTGTTCTAAATCTTTATTTGTATTTTGTTGGGGTTATACAAATTTTTATATCACAAGGAAATATTCAAGTACCAAAGAGTGAGGCAAACAACATTACATGGATTAGAGTGTAGGTATATTTTTATAATTTTGATTATATTAGTGATGCTACTTGATAAAACAAGTTAAATTATATGAGATGATATATATTTACATATTTTTCTATGTGTAGTGTCCTCGTCAGCGCACTGATATAGATTGCAGTTATTTCATGTTGAGCTTTATGAAAGAAATTATTCTTTTGAATCAAATAGAGATTTCATCCATGGTATGAATTTCTAACTTATGATTTATTCTAATATATTTAACACATTTCATCTAAGTAATTAGTTTTAACTAAACCATATTATGTTATATTATGTAGTACTTTGATGAATACAAGTGTTTTGCTTATTCGAAAGATCATTTGGACGATATTAAGGAAGATTTGCGTTAATACATTATTGAGATGAGAATTTTATAAGGTATTGTGACACTTTTATTGATGGGAATTTTGAGTGTATATATAAGTTTGAGTTAATGAGATACTATATCGTCATAGTGTGGTAAATTGTTGCAATGTTGTTGTTGTTATGTGGAAGGTTAGTTAGAATGGTATTGGATTTAAATTCAAACAAAATTTTATTTGTATAGTATGAATTGGGGAATTTTTAATGGTGGGTTATAACGAAATCAGAGAATTTTGTTTGTATGTATGAATCGGGGAATTTTTAATGGTGGATTATAACGGAATTTTGTTTGTTTGTATGGACGAAATCGGAGAATTTAATTTGTATGATATGAATCGGGGAATTTTGTTTGTATGAATCTTGATTTGTTTTTGTCACATTGATTTTTAAGTGTTATATATATAGCTTGATTCTGATGTATATGTCTTTGTTGGTTTTGTTTCAGGTAGGTGCATATGTAGAAGATATATAGATTCATTTAGGATTCTTCATTGTTGTTGTTTGTAGAGAAGATAGTAGAGAATATAGCAGCTCTAGAAGATAACAATATGTATATTTGGTGCATATTTATTTGTTTATAAAGTTGTATATGTAAATATTTAAATTTATATTTATATAAATTATTGAATTCTTTAAGTTGTATTGATGTGTATATAAATTGTTAGATTAAAGTTGTATATATAAATATGTAAATTTGGTGCATATTTATTGGATTAAAGCTTCAAATTTATAAATTATGATACAAATTTGAAATACAGCGCTTAAATTTTAAGTGATTATGTGTACAGGACGCTTAAAATATAAGCTGGATATATTAAAAAAATCCGTGAACATTAGACAGCGCTTTAAATCAAAAAGCGCTGCCTATTATGGGGAATAGAAAGCGCTGCCTAAAAAGAGACTTTAGATAGCGCTTCAAAATAAACCCTGCCTAAAATATAAAAAAATATAAAAAATACATTAGACAGCGTTTTTTCTATAGTGTGTCTATAGCAGTGCTTTTACTTTAGACAGTGCTTGTAGAAGTGTTGTCTAAAGTAAAAGCGCTGTTATAGACACACTATAGAAAACGCTTACATTGTTAAAAGCGCTGCCTATAGGAGCCTTTAGAAAGTGTTTATTCAATAAAGCGTTGTCTAAGGTCTACATTAAGCAGCGCTTTCACATAGACTAAAAGTGCTGCTTATGATTACAGCAGCGCGGGAATAGGCCGCATTTATAAGCGCTGTCTATGTGCTTGTTTGACATAGTGGATGACAAGGGTGCGCTAAAGGTTGCTGATCTCTCTAGAGTACACTTGACAGTTGATATTTATATAGAACTTCCATTGTCCCAACTAGAATATATTGATAGTCCTATAGAAGAACCTATAAATATGGAGGAAGATCATATAAGTGTGTTAATCCCTGAAGTAGAAGTCATAGTTTCAGAGCTTTATGAGTGAGGATGTAAATGTAGAACCTGAGGATGTGAATGTAGGTCCTGAGGGCATGAACAAAGATGGTGTTGATGGTTTGAACAATGATGGTGTTGAGGATGTGAATATAGGTGTTGAGAGTTTGAACAATGGTGTTGATAAGGGTGTGAATATAGGTCCCGGGAGTTTAAACAATGATGGTGTTGAAGATTTGAACAATGACGGTGTTGAGGGTTTGATATTGTGTCTCTTTAAACACTGCATAAAACATTCACTGTAAAATAACATTCTCGTTTGAACACTGCAAGTCTGAACAATGTAAAACATTTATGTCTCTTTTGAACACTTCTACAAAACACATTCATGTAAGATTCATGACACTGCAAGTCTGAACTAGTACAATAAATTCATGACACTGCAAGTCTGAACTAGTACAATAAATTCATGACATAAATTAAACTTCTATATAACACATTAACTCCATATTACTGAGCCTGAGTTGTTCAACTTCTTTTTTGGCTTCCTCCATCTCTTGGGTTAGCACATCAATCTTACTTTTTTGGCTTCCTCCATCTCTTGGGTTAGCACATCAATCTTACTTTCTTGCTTCATCATGATTAGCTCCTTTTCATCTCTAGCTTCTTCGAAGAACCATTCAAAGAATCCACAACGAGCATTACTATATCCCTGTAAAGATTTAGAAAGAAAATTACAACTTAATAAATATACATTTCACGCTACAATATTCGGACTAAAGCTTACCTTAAAATGTTGACAACCCAAAAAAAACTTTCCATAATTATTGACAGTTCTTGCCCTTCGAAGTACAACAATGTCTCCACAATGACAAAAAGGTTTATGGAAGATTCAAGCTGCTACATACCTGCGAATCACTTATGTTTTTTGATGATGATGATGAACCGTGGACGGCACTCATGATTCGTTCACTACTGTAGGCGAATTAGGTTTCAATTTGGGGAATTCTTACCATATTCGCATTAGGTTTAGATTGGAGGTGAATATGAATCAAGCTGTTTATCAACGAAGAAGGTGATGAATAGGACAGTCCATCTCAGCAGCCATGTCATTTCTGTCTAACGCCTTTTGTCATTATTTGACATAAAGGACTTGTTTAATTCTGTTTGACAACGTAAGGGATCAAATTGGACGTTCTAAAAAAAATGGACCAAAATGGACCTAGAGGTATAGGTAAGGGAGGTAAGGGACTTAAAAGGGTATTAACCCTTAAATAAATAAATAATAGTTCAATATTCTTCTTATACAGGTGCAGGAGAAAGTAGGAATTCTGGTTGTTTCCTCTGTAGCAGAATCCCACAAAAGGGACACAATGGTTTTGAGGATACTGCTTGAGAGGATGATCTATTTGACGACTCTGAATCTAGACAACATGAAGACATCCTAAAAAGAGGTTCTGGAGCCAATCTAAAGACAAACCTGTGGCAACATACACAAAACCATAGGGGGCTATTTGGACAAACCTCCATACAAACAGCACATCTCAATAACTTGCGGCGTTGAACATTATCACTGGTACAATCTTTACTTTGACAAAAACCAAACTCTGGGGATTCAAATGGAACAGCTGCTGAACAATAACTGCATGACTCCACTGCTGAACATCTCTTGCTCGCAAACCTGTTATTTAAGAAAATACATTATGTATTGTGATTAGCAAATTTTCTAGCTTCATTAGTTACAACAAAATCCTTATTTTGTTCATTATGACTAAAAAAGAAAAGATTCTTTGTTCATGAAAAAAGTTCATCAAAAAGAAAACATATATCCTAATGAATGGCAATGAGCTGTAATGTACTGGTTGACTAGTAAAACAATTTATAAAGGTGTCATTTTGAAACAAGCAGTACCTTTTTTCACGAGTAACTTTCGGTACAATGAATTTCAACTGGTCGCGTATGTGTTCCTGATTTAAAGCAACCCATTGTTCCATTTGTTTTAATCCAGAAGGATACCAGCGGCCAGGTTTGGATGGAGTTGATTTTAGATGGGACTTGGTAGTTTTGACAGCAGAGAAACTAAAACACACGTGCCTTTCGCGGAGCTCTCTCTCACTGCCTAAAAGAATTTCTATCCACTTAGTCATTTGCTCATCAATGACAGGACATGCCCCTTCTAAGTTCTGAACTTTGCTGTTTATTTTGGTTATCTGATCAGGATCCAGCTTTGCTAACATTACACGTCTACACATTATATTGAGTAAGTGTAGCAGCCGAGAAGGAACGTCTGACAACCTTGAAATGAGACGTGATAACACTTCTTCAAGAGGAAGATTCGTATGAAATTCCAGAAATGATAACGAGAGCCATTTGATCACTAAATGTTCTACATATTTTGAGTTGTTATCCATGAAAGCAAATAATGCTGCACTTATATCCCAAAAAACCAGAGCTTTATCAAGACATTGATACTGGTTTAAAGACCATATGATATTGGTCCCCCAATAAGTTAATTCTTTCTCAAGATAACTGGGAAGTTCTTCTATGCAACGTGAAAAGGGAGATTTCAACCAAACATCCATTTGTAGCCCACCAATCCAGAAGTAGTCAATAGCTGCCCTCAAAATCCTGCCAAAATTTGTTAATTTTTAATTCATAAAATCTCTATTTAGAAAATACAAAACAAAAAGAAAATAAAAGATAGCTTAGGAGTGTAAACACAAAGCTCCCCGATTTTGTTTCTTGTTCCAATTTTCAGGAAAAACTCAACCCACAAGGAAAGACACAAATATGTAGCCATGAAATTGTGTTTATACCTTCCTTCATACATTCGATTCAGTTTATCAATATCAAAGCAATGAACCTGCACAATAAACAACCAAAAAAAAACAAATAACATTACAACATATGTTCAAAGCAAAAGCAAGAGAAATTATTTTTCATAGGTATGTATTACTTGATAGCCAAAAAAATGCACAGAATCAATCCATTCATTACATTCCTCCTTAAAAAAAAATGTTTGAAGCTTAAGAAACTGAGATATTGTTGGACCTCAGTTAATTGGGGTTAAGGAATTGATGCTGAACTACTAGCGCTGGCCCAAGGGTAAAGCAACCCAAGCAAGGGTTTTAGGCCTCAAAATTTTGGACAAAAAAAATGGCCTTAAAAAAGTTTAATTTTGTTATAAATATATAAAATGACATAATTTACATTAATTCTCATAGTTGAGTTGGTAAAAGGAAGGCCTAATATAGTTTTGGTCTTCGGTTCAACTCTTGGCAACGACAAAAAATTATTTTTTTTTTAATATATTTTAAATGCCTCCCTTTAAAAGTGGTTGTAGGCCTCTAAACATGTTGGGTCAGCCATGTGAACTACTGAGTCACTTCTACACATTAGCTAACAATGTGATATAGGAAATCATCGTAAGAAACAAACATTTGTGATTCAAACAACAAACTAAGGACAACATAAACAAAAAGCCCATCATGTTATGGTTCTTAATTTAAAATCTCTTTTCCAAAAAAAAAAATTAATTAAAACCTCAACATGAAATTGACATGGTTTGAATCTAAAATTGTTTTGAAGTACCTAATAGAGTAATAGCTGAACTGAGTAACTATGCTAATAGAAATTAGTTTAGCCAAACAAGGAATTGACCTGGTAACTGACTGTGTTGAGTCAGCACATTCCTAGCTAGCTGGGCATAAATACCCATTCTGTTGAGTACTGTAACTAACTTCTTTATTTTTATAAGATTCAAAAAATAAAATGCAATCTACCTTCCCTCTCTTTCATTCTCTTTCCCTCTCAGTTTCTATCATTGTTACAGTTTCATTAAATACCTATCAGATTCTGGTAGATACAAGGGGTTACATGTTTCCTTTACAATATGTGTGATGAGTCAATTCATGCAATTTCCATTTGTTGAAATTTGGGATGCAGCAATTCAAATTTTACAATATTGTGGGATATTCAAACGCAAATTGGGTTGGTTCACTAATTAATAGGAGATGCACTCCTAGTTATTAGGTCTTTAATGGAGGTATGGTTACTCGATCTAGTGAAGAGGTTGAAAATCAAACTATGGCAATGATAACTTGTGAGCTTATATGGGTGAAACAGTTACTTCAAAAGTTGAAATTGAAGTTTGGCTGTTTGGCGGATGAAACTGTACTCTAATAACCAAGTTGTTCTCCAAATTTTTCCAAATCTAGTCTTTCATGAAAGAATCAAGCTTAGAGAAATTGATTGTCAATTTACCATGAAAAAATTCTAAAGAATCCAGATGATGATTACTAATTTAATCTACTTTCTTTTATTTAGGGATACACCAATGATTGCTGACATTTGGGCCGCTGCAAAATGGAAACATATATGCAAGACTAAGATGGAAAAGAAATATCATACAGCTGCAATGACAAGATTTCCAGGGGACACAGCTACACCAAAACTTGAATCATATGCATCTCTTGAAGGCTGCACGGAAAAGAAAAAAAATATATCTTATTTAGTAAGGAAAACAAAGATAAAAACAAAACATGATATTAAGTACAGAGCATGGTAACATCATACGCCAGTTGAATCATTACTACGGGGCATCTCAGAAAATTTGGGTATTTCTTCTAGGCGGCACTTGTGCAAAATCCATCCACGCAATAAATTATCCTACCAACAATTCAGCAATTACTCATCAATCATAGATACATCATAGGAAACAAAAAAATTATGGACGTCTTTGCAATCATTTGGAAAAAAATGGAAGAGGGAGAAACAACATTATTCTTGAAGTGTTTATTTGAACCTGTTGGGAGTTTAATATTTAATTTTCTTAGCTGAAATTGCTTTAGACTCTCCGGTTAAGATATAAATTAATTATTGTAGATAATTTATCACTGCATTATGCAAACTAGTCCTAAAAGCAGCTCAGATTAACCAGTTCTAGAAGGCTAAGCAGTTTTATCACATTTTGGAAGCTTGCATGTATACAAAATTAAGAAGATTGGTTCAATATAACTTAAAAATTCATACAGCAAATGACACTCTTAACTGCAAATATTCAAGCAATTACTTGAAAGGACCCAGTTGTAATCCATGATAAAACAGTTAGGAAGTCAAGTTTCTGACTTTATTTACCTAGAGAAATGAAATGCAGAATGTAACCGGTGGAAGATAGAAAACTTGGTATGGAATATGGATTATCGAATGTTAATGTCTCATAATTATAATTTAATGATGCTTTGTAGAAAATTGGACAGGTCACTTGAAGGAAAATAAAACCTGGCTACAACTGCACAAAAATCTTCCACCAAATGCCCAAGCTAAACCAGTAACCTGAAGGATATAAAAACGTAGAAATCAATAGAGGAATACACCCTAAGTTTTCAATCAATGTCAAAAAAGAAGGGAATTAACTTACAGCATAATAATGTGCATCATATGACCCAAGCTTATCAAATTCCTTAGAAGATATGTCGCACAGCCATATCTCAATGGAACCAGAACCTTTGCCTATGGCTAAAAGCATCTTGGAGGGGTATTGAGCATGCACAGTTACTGAAAGTACCGAAACTGGGACAGCATTGACAGTTATAACCTAATTAGAAATTGAAAGTTGCATAAAGGAATTATTCATATTCATAAAGAAGATATAGAAATGAAAAGAAATTTAAAGATAATTTAAAAATAAGTGGGACGTACCTCCTCCAATAACAAGAAGGATGTTTGATCAACTTCTTTCAGATTGTTTTTGTCACATAACCAAACCTTCACACTACAAAGCACATATGTATCTCAGTTTAGACCAGATAATAGGTGGGATTCAATCTATTAATCAGAAGTGTGAGGATTAAATCTTTGACCACTTTTTGTACAAAAATGATTAGGTTCACAGCCAAAAGTAGTGCATCTTATACACACATTGGGTATGTTATTAAACTCTGCCTTTCCGGCCGTTATCTAGGTACGAAACAGCAAAACCAAGAAAACCGCATCAGGCCGCACCTTTCCATCACAAATGGGTGGCTGGAACGACCGTAATAATGGGATTGGATTCGGAATGACACCGCTCTGACATGGTCACTCCGGCCGTGTCTACCGTATATGATATTACCCTTAAATTTTTAAGGATAGCAAGGTTATTATATTGAGTTTTATTGCCATTTGGAAGTATGCTTTGCTCAAGACTAATGGTTTTTATTTCTAAATATAAATACTTCATGAATTTTGATTAATTTATTTTAGTTTTTAACAATTATGTGTTTGTTAGTAATAACTGCATTAGTGTCCGCGTCACTAAAATATCAGTCGTTCCGCTCCCCGTTCCCTTTCTAGGGATGGCCCACACCGCTATCCGAGATTGATAACATAGATTTATATCAAACAATTACATCAGGAATGAAAGCAATACACTCGAGACATTCATATCACACAATTCCATAAGCATAACCAACTCACCTTCCATCAGAGCTTCCAGTAGCTAATACAATTAGAGGGTTTGAAGAATCAAAAGCAAACAACAGCCAACTCATTGTTGTGATCCATGAATTGTGTGCCTGAAGAAAACCAGCAAACTTCACAGCAGTTGGGGCTTTTGTCTCCTCAATAGTATGACAATCTGGTTGGTCAAACCTCCAAAAAGAGATTTCACCAGACTTCCCTCCGACGGCAAGAAGACTGACAGGAGCACTTGTATAAGGATCAGGACAAAGCTCAGATGCTACATGCAGCAAGGGAGACCACGAAACAACAAGCGAATAAAGCATTGCAGTACGGTAAGCATATTCATCTGCGCTTATCAGTGGCCCTTTTTTCAACAGTTCGTCATTAGGTTTGATAGAATCGGCTTGACTTGATGCATTTTTTAGCAGACACGGCCTAATGCTAGGAACCTAAAAATCAAATAAACACAAATAGTGGTGACAAAACTTAAACACAGTGGTTTCATGTAGAACTTAACCATTATTTGCAAGAGAGCAGGGTTATACTGGTTGTAGTGCAACTAACTGATTAATTTTAGTTTACAACAAGTAAAGTTGTGTAATTAACTTTTCATGAAACAAGTAAGAATCAGCAAAGAATTTTTGAATTCTTAACATCAATTGAAAAACTGCATCACATTTTGATCCACAAAATTTATATCTAGAATAAGTAAATGACATCGTACAGGTATTAAAATACAAACAAAAATTAATTGCTTGCAAAGATTAAAAAGATATACAAATATACCATGGATACATGAAACATGGAAGTTAAATGCTTGTCAGTTGTTCCAAGGACTAGTGGAGCAATATTGGAGGAATGAAAAAGATATATACACATTGTTTTGAATGATTTGGAGAAAGGTTTTGAGGAAAGGGTATAGAGAAGAAATCAGTTTGTATTGCTTGCATTTGAGCAAACAGAGAACACAAGATGGAGTCACAAAAGACATTCCTAAAGTATAGCTTTGCACGAAGACTAAACTTTGAGAACTTATTTTTTATCTTGGTACTAATTGTGCTTACTTTATAGGTCTGTATGCTGGGAACTGCTTTTTATGATATAATAACCTTGGAAGCACATGAGTTTCATTTTACTAGAAGTAAAACAGAATATCTGAAATGCATGCTTCGTAAGAAGAACAGAACTTCTACCTTACAGATGAAATTGGAGACCAAACCATACAAGTTGCACAGATATATCATGTCTATCGTACACAATGACAAAAAGATAGAGGGAGTTGTCAACCATAAGATTCATGGGAGAAGGATAAAATGCAAGAATGTTGTGTGAATTGCAATAGTAAAATATCACTATAAAGAAAATAAATAAAAAATACCCCAGGGCTTTAAGGCATCCAATTCCAATGTTATAGGAGATTAATGGGGGTTTGAATAGACTCTAAAGAACCAACAAGACAGGTTAACATTGTAGAGTGAGAATGTTATTACTATCGATGATTAGGAATAAAATCATTAGAGAGAAAGTTGGTTTCCATTGTAAAACAATATGGTAGAATATCTCGTAGGTGACTTGGATATGTGTGGACACGGCCATAGAAGCACTAATAAGGAGACAAGAAGAAATGGGGGAGAGAAAAATTATAAGAGGGAAAGGAAGCAGAACTATTAAAAAGATTTCAATGGTCTATCGATAGACATGGTTCGTGATATGACATCATTTGATGCTTGTAACCCACCCAACCTAAGGGGAAAATATTTTGGTTGTTCTTGTTGCTTGTATACATGTATATAGACTAGTTACATATATGGTATTGGTAACAAAACATTAGTTCACACACACTTTGTATATCTCTCTTCCTTAAAACAGTTTTTGCATGTTATTTGTTTATCTTAGCTTTTCAAATGTTCATTAGAGAGAATTAAGAGAAAATAGATTATACTGCATGGAGAATTATAAATGAGAAAGCAACAAAAAAATGGGTGAATGAGATAACTTACTCTAGAGAAATTTAATGAAGAAGCCCCTGTACCTCGAAACTCAGTACATTGAAAGTATTTGAACAGCATTTCAGTAATGTCTACAACCTAAACATGATAGGAATGAAATATTAGACTTAAACCATGTATGGATACAATATTAAAAAAACTCCTAAATTTTTCATATTGCACAATATTGTAAATGGTAATTGCTGAAAAAATTTAAATAGCGTTCTTTTTGAACACATGTTCTATATATTATAAGCCATAGCAGATAGCATCGATTCCAAATCCATAAAATTAACCACTTCAATTGCACATACCTCGATCCATTCAGCACAAAAATCACAAAAAGGTGGACGATAAACTTTCACGTGTCCTTCAGAAGTGCAAACAGCTATCAAGCACCTGTTGCAAAATAAATCTCAAACTAATATTTAAATGCATAAAAGTAACTAAAAAAACCTTGAACTATACAACTAAATGAAATGAACCATGTTCTTATAAGTGGGAGCAATCCTCACCCTACAAGCCAGTTTTGTAGGGTTGAGTTAGGCCCAACACATTTCTTAACAAGAATGAGCAATTTAATATCCACCTCAAAAACATGGACTCGATGATTAAGGAAATATGAGAAACCGTACCCTGAGTTGGATGCCATGCCAAGTGGAGACCATGATATTGATCGAACAACTGGCTTGTCATCCCGATACAAAGCTGTAGGTAGAAGACCTCCAGAGAGTAAATCTGTGTATAACTCAATTCCAACATGTTAAAACTTTGCTTAGCCCCGTGGTAAATGAAAAGTATTGAACTCTCATTTAACATTACCACATATGAATCTATAATCACAAACACAAATGTTCATAAATGTCGCTTAACAAATACAACACACTTCTATTAACATAGAAATACTTCATGAAGCAGTTTATGAAAAAGATCATGTATTCTAAAGTAGTTTCAATAACACGCGCAAATCAAACATGATCATACTAGAGTTCAAAAAGAAAAAGATGTCGGCGTCAACAATGATTAAGTGCATAGGGCCAGGCCGAGTAGCTCAAACTAGAGCTTTAGGCCTTAAAACTTTGGGCCATACCAAGGCCTCAAAATATACAATTTAGTTATAAATATATACTATGACAGATTATTTATGGATGTTTGCCAAGCTCAATTAGTTAAGATGAGAGTCTTATATCCTACCTGACACAGGTTCAAACCTTGAACTCAACAAAACTTATATTTTAGTTTTATATTTTGTTTTGGTAAGTCTTGTGTTATTGTAACTCAATTTGTTTTAGGAAGTCTTAATATAAAATTCGCTTTAGGTCTCTACATGTGTTGGGTCAACCCATCATTTTTGGATTGACCGTCAATTTGCAAGAGTCGCAGTGTACTGCCGTGATTTTGACAAAAGCTGCACTTTGAAGCTTTAACAAAACCATGATACTACCCTTATTTCATCAAACTCACCATATTTCCCAACATGCACTAATGAGCTGTGACATCTATCTATGTTCGATGATTCTATGAAAAGTCTTCCTCTAATGAGACAAATGGAGGAATTTTACAATGTTGTTTGGTGCCATTTTGTCTCCACTCTCCATATTCATACATTTTTGGGACCTTTACTAGTTATTCTTCAATCAATCTATATATTCTAAAGAAAATGTCTTCTACTAATGACACCTGGCAGAATTTCACACCATTTTTTCCCACCAAGCATTTGTTGGAGACTGTGAAGCACAAACACCTCTAAGAGCAGACATGTTGCGGTGTCCAGCACTTGTATAACATTCATACGACATATGTCAGAAAAGTAAGACAAGTATCGGAAAAAAAGTCAAGCAAATGCCAAAAATAAAAAGGTTGTGACTTTGCTTCGACACTTCTTTAATCAATGTCCTACACCCGTAAACACTCATACAGCATGTGTAGGACTTATGAAAGCAGCCTATAGGCTACAACATGTTCATAAACTGTTTTCAGATTATTTCCATAATATAATCAAAGTAGCTTATGAAAACAGCTTGTAAAGTATTTTTTTAAAAACAGTTTGTCTTTACTTTATGCAAATAGCTTAGGTTATAAGCTGCAAAATAAGTCCGCTATCGAAACAATGCCAACATATATATTTGTCTACCATCTATGATTTCATAGAAAAGTCTGCACTATAATGACACGAGGCAGAGTTTGAGAGAAGTTCAAATACCTGTCCTTTCCACAAACCCTAAAATCCGAGGCTCGCCGGGGAAGACTTGAATCAAGCCACGTGGTCCATAAGGCGAGTCGGGTCTCTGAAAAAGAACAGAAAACAGATTTATTAACAGTTGAATTTAATGACACGATCATGAAGTAAAGAACAGAGAGAAAGAGAGAAAGTACAAGTATGGTAACGATGTGACCCGAAGCAATAGCAATGAGATTCTCCTCAGACCAAGCAATGGCGTTGGGAAAACATGGTGCTCCCATAAGCATCGCTGACTGTAACGGACTTGGAGAACTCATGGTGCGGTGCGGTGCGGTTACTCGCGAGATGAAGAAGACGAGGGTTCGAATCCCTAAATCTGCAAATATAAACCTACCAAATCAATATTTAACTTGATTTTCTCGATTTAAATTCAGTTATCGCGCTCGTACAATGAATTGGAATGTGTGAGGGTATTTTTGGTATATCCTCTGCAAAACCCTACTCTCTTCTTCTTCGTTGTGCCGTTTGCAAAACGGCACCACAGTTACTTAATAGGAGACCAGCTAGTAGTCTAGAATTAAAAGAGAGAAAACAGTCACAACAGAGACCGCATAGCGCAGTGGATTAGCGCGTCTGACTTCGGATCAGAAGGTCGTGGGTTCGACTCCCACTGTGGTCGTTATTCTTTTTCTACAGAAACGTGCATTTGCTAAAACACCTCTCCATTTTTATTTCCGACACCTCCCTCATAGATATCTCTTTTCAAATGAACGAGGTTTTATGTTACTTTCGATAAATATGATTAAAATAAGGTTTTAGACTATGTTTTATAAATAAAAAATGTACTTAATAATAATAAGAAATAAAGTATTACATGACTTAATTTGGTTATACTATTTTGTAATTTCAATATTGCTTTTTAGGTGAAACAAAATTTAAATTTTAAAAATATATTTTTTATTTTGATATGTAGATTGTAGATTCAGTGTTAAATTTAAGTTAAAGATTTTAAAATAAGAAAGTAATAGTCTTTGTTTATAAAAAGATTAAAATGTCTCTCATTTTACAAACATAAAATTATTATAGCAATCAAAATTAATTTTATTCAAATTTTAACTCATTAGTTAAGTTATTTAAATGGATTGTTCTTTACATTTTTTATGGTTTATTAATACTTTATAATTTTTTTAAAAATGGTTCATCTTACTCATCGAAATAATACAATTCGGACACATCAATTAATTGTTGAAGGAAAAAATTATTTAATCAAAAAATATTATTCATGGATAACATTTGGATAATATTATCCAGACACACCAATATTATAAATTAGGTTCTGTTTTCTTGTTCCATTTAGTAAATTTGAAAGAAAAAAAAGAGGAATTTACGTGAAACTGAAATATAGTAAGATCTATATATTTTTATTGGTATTCATTCAAGTTAACTTCATTAATTAATTTTGAAGATTCTACTAATCAGACTTTTGGCATTTGAAAGACATTTGGGAGCATAAATTGTTTGACATCCTTACGTTACTTTTGGTGAGTATGATGAATTTATTTTTCTTTTTAGTTTTGAAATCCCATATATTTCTTACTTGATTCTCCAATTATTAACAGTTAGATATCTTATATATTCACTATTACGATTTTAGAAGATTTAGAGTTTCTATTTTGTCTATGACACAAGTGCGAAATCAATTTGGATAGTGTTATCTAGACCCATTTGAATAGTGTTATCTATATATTTCTATTGTTATTCATTCAAGTTAACTTCATTAATTAATTTTGAAGATTCCACTTATCAGACTTTTGGCATTTGAAAGATATTTGGGAGCATAAATTGTTTGACATCCTTACGTTACTTTTGGTGAGTATGATGAATTCATTTTTCTTTTTAGTTTTGAAATTCCATATATTTCTTACTTGATACTCCAACTATTGACAATTAGATATCTTATATATTGCGTGTTTGTCACTGTTGCAATTTTAGAAGATTTAAGGTTTCTATTTTATCTTTGTCACTAGTGCGAAATCAATATGGATAGTGTTATCTAGACTCATTTGAATAGTGTTATCTGCACACCAAATATGTCCATTATATCTCATATATTGAGATTAAATAGTGTTTATATTGTGTTAGGTTCTAGTGATGTTGGACAATCATTTGATGCTACCGAAGAATTGTCGTCTCATGGTCATGGATCTCGGTCTCATATGATGCACATGTCCATTATACTAATGGAATCATCTGATGTTGATGTATTAATTTTGACACTACTATAATACAATGAAGAGTATTAATCATGGTATAAAAAATATCATAACTTTTGCAATTAGATGAATCATAGTTTTGGAAAGTATTGGAATCATTCACACCGAAGGATTTTTATAGGGTATGATTTAGTCACATTAATCATGGCACTTCCATCGTTCATTGTTGACAGATGGTCATGATAGGATACAAAACATGAAAAACTTTACAACATGGACCGCATAGCGCAGTGGATTAGCGCGTCTGACTTCGGATCAGAAGGTCGTGGGTTCGACTCCCACTGTGGTCAATTTATAAGAGTTAAGTTTTTATAAAAGGTTCCTTATTACATTTTTATGGTTATCCTACACTCTATAACTTTCAAACTTTCCATCTTGTCTCGATTTACAAAGTTGAGGGAAAAATTATTTAATTGAAGATTATTATTCGGACATAACTTCTAGATAGTGTTATCTGAACACATATTTAATGTGAATTGTATCATGCATTCCTTTCTCATTTAGTAACTTTAAAAATAAAAGGAACTTTTTGTAAAATTGATATATTACAAAATTTATATATTCCTATTGATATTCATTAAAGTTAACTTCATTAATCTATTCTAGAGATTCCACAAATCGAGTTTTCGGCATTTAAAGGACATTTGAGAACATAAATCATTTGACATCCTCATGTTACTTTATTTTTAGTTTTAAAATCATATATTATTTCTTATTTGATACATTGACTATTGATGGTTGGCTAGATATTGTTGAAATATTAAATTAGATTTGATTAGATTTGATTATATTTAATATTTAATATAATCCAAGTTGTGTTAGCCCAAACTTAATTAGGATTGTATATAAATAGTCATAATGTGTCATTATTTATACAATTTAATAATACAAATCCTTATTTTCTTTATTATTCTCTCTTTTTCTCCTCACTAAAAGTGCCTCACGCACTAACAAATTGGTATCCAGAGCTTCCGGTTATTGTTCTTGATCAAGTTTTCAAGAATTTCACGTCAGAGATCGTTTTTTAGGGCAAGCGAATCAACCGTTGCAAAGATGGCTAGTGATAAGGGCAAGGACATTCAGAATTCTCTTCTAATGTTTGACAGCAAAAATTAGATTTGATGGAAAAAACAGATGCAATCCTTGTTTGGTTTCCATGAAACCTTAGAAGTGGTTACCGAAGGCATTCCTGCGTTGGCTGCGAATGCAACTGACGAACAGAAAAAAGCCCACAACAAAGTCAAGAAGAAAGATTGCAAGGCTGCTTATTGCATTCAAATGGTTGTCGATGCTGCTAATTTTGACAGAATCTCTCATGCTAAAACAGAGAAGGAGGCATGGGATATTCTGGTGAAGTATTACGAAGGAGGTGAGAAAGTTAAAGTTGTCAAATTATAAACCTTGCATCGATAATATAAGTTGTTGTCGATGGGAGAAGATGAAAAAGTTGTATAATATGTGTCGAAGATTCAGAAACTCGTCCATCTCATGAAGGGTTGTGGTGAAACCATTACTGATAAGATGATAGTTGAGAAGGTAATGAGAATGTTGACCTCTCACTTTGATCACGTTATCGTAGCTATTAAAGAATCCAACAATCTTGAAACCACTAAAGTGGAAGATTTGGTTGGTTCGTTGGAGGCACATGAGATGAGGATTGTCGAAAGGAAATGAGTTCAGAACTCGATACAGGCACTGTAAGCTCAGTCATGGAAAAAGGATATTAGTTCCAACAAATTCAAAGGCAAGCTCGACAAGTCTCATGGCAAGAAGTCTTGGTCTAATCACCATAAGAATAAGGTCGAAGATAGATCTTTTGAATCCTCAAAAAGGGGAGGAGGAAACTATCGAAAGGACAAAGAAGATAAGAAAGGTATGCAGTGTTATAACTGTGAAAAGTGGGGACACTTGCCCAAGAATTATTGGTACAGAAAAGACAAGGGATCGAAAGTCAAGGACGAAGGAGCGAACCTTGCACACCAAGATTCAGATGATTCTGAAGGTGGTATGGTGATTATGGCTACAGTTGGAGATAATTATGTCGAATACAAGATCTAGTTTCTTGACTCAGGTTGCTCGAACCATATGACTTGTTGAAAGGAGTGGTTGGCAGATTTTGACGATTCGAAGAAGAGAAAGGTAAAACTTGTTGATAATATTTTGTTGCAAGCAGAAGGTACTAGTAACATAGTCTTTCAAATGAGTAATGGAGGGAAAGTTATGATCAAAGATGTGCTCTATGTACTTGGAATGAAATGCAACTTGCAAAGTGTTGGACAACTAGTCGAAAAAGGTTTCTCAGTTGTCATGAAAGATGGAGTTTTGAAATTGTTCGACACCAAGAACAATTTGGTCTTAAAATCTCCATTGTCGAAGAATAGGACATTTAAGACTATGATCAGTTCGACAAAAGTTCAATGTTTGAAAACTGTTGTCAACCACAAGGATAGTTGGTTGTGGCATTTGAGGTTTGGACATTTGAACTTTTGATCACTTAATCAACTGATTATTCAAGATATGGTTACTGGTATTCCAAGCCTTGAGATGCCTGAAAAACTTTGTGAAGCTTGTTTAGTGGGAAAGCAATCCAGAAATTCTTTCGTTTCGACTATGTCAATGAGGTCATCTTGCATTCTCGAAGTGGTGCATTCAGATGTATGTGGTCCATTCAAAGAACATACAATTGGTGGAAACAGATATTTTGTTTCATTTGTCGATGAGTTTAGTCGAAATTTGTGGATCTATGTGATCAAACGAAAGGATGAAGTATTCAAAATATTTAAGAGATTCAAGATACTTGTCGAAAACCAGAGTGAGAAGAAGATCAAAGTTCTGCAAACAGATGGAGGTGGCGAATACACATCCAAGATGTTTGAAGATTTCTATGCAGAACATGGTGTTGATTATGAGGTAACTTCTCCTTATACACATCAACATAATGGAATTGTTGAAAGAAGAAATAGAACCATATTAGATATGGCGAGATGCATGATGAAGCAAAAGAATTTTCCAAAGTCTTTATAGGGAGAAGTTGTTTCAACTGC